AGGCATTATTAGTAGTTCCACCTTTATTAATGAGAAATAATGCAAACCAAATATCAAGAATGTCATTGGGGAGCAGAAGCTTTAGTAACTTCTTTACAAACACGTTATTTCTGTTAAAATGGTGGACATGGCTAAATTAATAACTGCAAAATGTGACGTGTGTTTGAAAAATAATCCAGTAATCAAGAAAAGAGTTCAAATGGGTAGATTAAAATCTGGTACAGAACCTGGAGATGACTGGCAAGTAGATTTTTCAGAATTACCTAGGCAAAATGGGTACCAATACATATTGGTGGGGGTTGATACTTTTACAGGATGGCCAGAAGCTTTTCCCTGTTGCACCACACAAGCAAATGAAGTAGTAAAGTGGTTACTATGAGAAATAATTCCAAGGTTTGGAATTCCTATTAGAATTTCGTCTGACAGAGGTCCACACTTTGTGACAGAAATAGTCTAAAACATTAGCAAAATTTTGGCTATCGATTGGGATTTGCATATTCCATGGAGGCCACAATCCAGTGGAAAAATAGAAAGAATGAACGAGGCTTTAAAAAGGCAAATAAGTAAGATCGGTCAAGAGACCAATTTAAAATGGCCTCAAGCACTTCCATTGGCATTATTATGAATCAGAGTACAACCAAAGATGGAACCTCAGTAAGTCCTTATGAATTATTGTATGGAAAACCTTATGAGTCCCCAGAACCAAATCCAAACATGCATGTAAACAGAAAACAAGATGTGTATAACTATTTGCTCTCTTTAGGAAAAACACTGACTGAAATCCAGAGTGCAGTAGTGTAGAATAGACCATTATCCCTAGAAACTCCAGTGCATGATTTTCAACCAGGAGATTATGTCTATGTGAAAATGTGGATTTCCAAACCTCTGCAGAAACGCTGGAAAGGACCTTTCCAGATACTGTTAACCACCTTCACGGCTATCAAGACTGCAGAATCAGATGCTTGGATACACTATAACCGAGTGAAGAAAGCACCTGCTCCATGGAAAATTATAAGCCATGACGCAAAGACTCTGAAACTGACTTTGAAACATGTCTAACATTTCGTATCAGTTTGTGATTGTTCTCCTTATATTGGCTTGGAAGGTGACACTGGTGAGATCATGGGTTGATTTGGTGGCTAGGAACAAAAGGCAATCGGATACAGAACAATTAATTAACATTCCTAAAGGAATGCCTGAAGAAAATTTGAAGTTAGGATTGATTAAGGGATTTGCCAGCGTGCAGAACCTTATACAAATTACTACCTGTTTACCAATACCAAGAGCAGTAGGTGAATCTATTCCTTGGGGAATCTTAACTATGAATTTGACCAATCTGGAACATAAAAATGAGACTACTTATTGCAAACAAAAGCCAGTGATTCAATGGTATGAACAAGTGAAGGTTATTAGGAAACAATGGAAGTCACTGGGAAAAAAAATCAGACTGTGAGAAACTACTAAATTAGGACTTTGTAACACGGTCTCAATCTAGTGCTTTGGCTCAAGTTCTCCTCCCAGGAGGCCCAAACCCTCATTTAGGATGGTGTTCATATGATGAACAGATTAAAAACTATGTGAGCAGGAGCATCATGGAATGGCAGTGTAACAAAACTGGGCAAAGTACTCAAAACCAGGCAAGGTGAGACTCTGTATGGTCTGTGTCCATATTCTCACGATTTCAGTAGGTGGCCAGAACCCCTTGGTGTTTTACTTGTGACGGTACCTGGATTAAAGGCATGTTTGCAATCCTTCCTTCGATTGTAGATAAAGGCACTACCCGACTAAAAAGGGATTTAAAGAATTAAACATCCAATTACAGGCAACTTCCTGAATGACACTTCAAAACTGGATGGCAATAGATATGCTTCTGTTAAAAGAGCATGGAGTGTGTGGATATCTCAAAGATAGATTGGATCATTGCTGCATTCATATCCCAAATATTACACAGGACGTAGAACATGATTTAGATCTGTTAGGCAAAATTGAAAAGGAAACAGAAACTATTCGAGAAGATATGTCAGAAGATTGGCTAGGAAAAGTTTTTAGTGGATTAGGATGGCACTTAAGCTCTTGGCTGAAATCCCTAATCAAAACTCTATTTCTGCTACTGATTGTCATTTTGATGATTATGCTGGTGTATGCCTGTCTTAAAAGACAGTTTACTAATAGACTTGCAATATATCGTAGAATTATGAGAGAAGTACTCACTATGCCACCAGACTACAGCCCGCCATCACCATCATCTGGCAAGGCAAACTTCGGCTTCAAAGATGAAAACGAATGAAAGGATGAAAGTTTTGAAATTATTTTCAACACTTTCAAAGGGGGGAAATGCTGCTGATTGTATTGTGTTTTATTTTAATATAAGTATAGAATTAAGAGATATTTTAGTAAAAATCATTTATTTACATTTATTGTACTTTGAATCTAGCAACTGACTGCTACTCTAAAATCCCCTGTACAGCCCCGTACCAAGGCCGAAGGGATTGGTCATAACTGTCTAGTAGGAACGGTTAGAACCTAGGTAACAAAACATGAGGTGATTTGTAATCTGATTTATAATACATGTATAGTACTAGAAGAATGCATGTAGTTGTCAAGGTCCAGGATTAATGGGAACTGAGGGAAGTCACCGTAACAGCTTGCAGGTACCTGCCAAGAAAACTGTGTCCTTAAGCAAAAGCTAATTCTGGCAGGGGGAGATCACGACCACCGACTCATGGACCACCTACTCACATCACACCCCAGACCCATTTCTAGACATTTCTAACCTTTACTGAGCAGAATCAGAAATAGGAGGGAATATGTTAATGATTTCTTAGAAATTGTATGTTTATGTAGGAATACTTAATGAATATGTATGAGTAAGTTCTATATAGGGTGTGTGGTTCTGGTGCCTGGCACGTGTTGTTGGTGAGAGCACTCCCCTACACGTCCGGCCGTCAATAAAGAAGTGTCTGCTTATCTGCACCAAATTGGTGTTGATAAGTTATTTTTATCCCGGTTTTTGGTGACAGTTCTACCTTTAGTATATACTCTGAGCCAGTAAGATCCAAATGTAAATGTTCTGCCACCAACATTCGCTACTGCTGAAGGGGGAAGATTCTGTGGGTAGAAGACAAAGAGTTTACTTAAGAAGATACACATTGAGCTATGGGCAATTTCAGGCAGCAAAGGAGTTTTTTAGAAAGACTACAACAGTTTCCATAAACAATGTCTTCTCACTCCCCTACTGAGTTATTAGTCTAATAGCCTGCTACTGTTTTTCTGAAGTGAATGCTTGCAACTCAAAAAAAAAAAAAAAAAAAAGAATTG